GCGTGGATTTCCTGTGATGCGAACTTCACACGAAACCTCGTCATCTGTGCCCCACCCTGCAAAAGGGCTTATTTGAGCCAGCGCAACCCATTACAATTCAGAAACTGCCCGAGTGACCAGAACAGTGACCGGACGGAAGTATTAGTTAACCAAATGCCAAAGTTCTGGTAAAGGCAATTGGAAGATTGCTCTCTGAAGCACGAAACATACCGTCGAAGCAACTTGAAAGAAAACATCCAGATCCTTGCTCTTCACAGTCAGCCGCACGTAAGCAGCAAGCGAGAATTCCTCAAGCACCGAGCCTTTGTAGAGAACACTGAGATAGCGCCGACTTTTATTATAACTGATTAGCATCTTCTGCCCCGATGCCGCTGGGATTTCCTGAAACACTGTAGGGTTCTGCACGTGAAGGGCGAACGTGCGAAAAGAGAGGGGGAGGGGGGGAGGAAGGAGGGTGCGAGAGGACTTTTTCGGAATAATTTTCAAAATATGCACTAAATGAGGATTTTAGAGCAATAAATGCATGGTACCACATGTGGTCCCAACAATCTGGTGTATTTGATAAGCGACCACACGCTACTTTTACTGTCGGTACAAGCGAATTTTGCCATTAACCTGCAACGCATTCATTACATCAATAAAGGCAATAGGCTAAGGACTACACAGTTGGAAATAAGACAAACTGAAAGCAAAATTTGGCGGCACAGGCGCTAGAAGGAGGGAAATGAAAGCATCTTTCCTGCAATTACAAATAAATGGCCAGCGCACTGACTGCCGGTGCGAAGATGCGTTTTCCGCATACTTCCCCGCAGGTTTTTGTCGCTAACGGCGCCGGCAAATACTTCTAGCTAAACGAATTGAGACTGGCTGTCAGGACTGTCAGGAAACAAAATTTCAGTTTTCTGGTGTTGCTGTTTTCCGAGTTAACAACTTATCCGAAAATGAGAAACACGCATACTCCGTGTCTGGGTTTGAACGCGTTAACACATACTTGGACAGGGAACAATCTCTTAAAATTGCAGCCATCTAACTTTTCAGTTTCCCAAGTTAGTAACTTACCCGCAGAAAACTTTCACGAGCCTGTACGCGGGAATTACGCACACTCGGGGACTGAGTTCGAACTCATTAAGACCTATGTGGGCGGGGAGCGTCCCTTTAAAATTTCAGCTTTCTAGCTTTTTTAGTTCCCAAGTTAGCAGCCTACCCAACAAAAACTTTGGCGAATCCATGCATGGACACCACGTGGGTAAGAGCGCCCACTCTGAGGATGGGAACCCACATATGCATGCAGATTATGTTCCCAAAGTTCCAGCCTTGTAATTTTTGTAGGTCTTGAGATGAAAAATCGGTACAGACGAACACACAGATACACACACGTACACAGACAACACCTGGATAATATGCGTTTTCTGCATTGTTTAGATGCCAAAAACGTATAAAAAGGGGTTCCGGAAAAGCAAAGGTAGGGAATTTTTCAAAAACAAATCAGAAATGGTAGAGAAGAAATGCACAGTGATGAAACGACGGATTAGCCGAGAATAATTCCCTTTACCAGCCAGCGAGTGATGAACCAAGCTTTCGGAGACTTCAGTATAGTTAAGTGGGTAAAGGATGTATTAATTATTTATTTACGAGCAAAATGCTATGGCAAAGCCGAAATTGACGGAGAGAAAAGGAAGACGGGATAGTTGAAGAGACTTTGCGAGTGAATGTTAGCTGTACTGAACAGACGCACCTCTTGCTATGCTTTAAAGTGTTACTGGGCCTGTGCTTGGACTTATAGGGATGTGGGAGTTCGTTGCACATTTATAGCTCCTCACACATGCTTCATGACTATGTGCAACAACTGTTAATTCTTATCTCATTTCTCCATCTGCGCAGCTGAAAACTTTTCCACGGCTTCTTTAACCAGTGCTGCTCTGTCTGTGTTTACAGCTAAGGGATGAAACACAAATTGCATACAGACCTATTCTTTCACGGGATTTCGAAATTCAGTTCCTACTGATCTCATGCTACACCGCAGCCCGTTGGCGATCATGGCGTTCGTTTCGTCTCCCGAAAGGATTACCAGCTCAGTGGTTGTCTCAGCAGAAGCGCTTAGCGAGGCTTTGTTTTGAGATGTCGCTGGTGAGAGTTGAGTAAGACCGTCCCGCTCCTGACGTTTTCGTTGCCGGAGTTCGCTGAGTGCGCAAATTCGATGACTACGACGCCGGTACTTCAGCTATCTGCTTCAGTGGATTTAATTATGCTGAGAGACAGGGCAAACAACGAGGTGGACAGGCACGAGCCGCACGCAACTGTGTAAAAATGCATAAGAAAATAGGAAAAAAGCAGGGAAGTGTACCCGGCCGCGCATGATGCGCGCCAGGCCTACGTGAGCACCCATGCCTGCGCCACATTTAAATTGCATGCCATTTCGCGCGCTCACTTTTGTGCTGCAACTGAAACCGTGTGTCTTCAACCTGAAGTATGCTACTTTTTGGTTAATTGCCAACTTGGGCAGCTTTTGGGACTCGTTGGTTTGGGGAGGGCACGGGTTACGCGGGTTGTGGTGCACCCCTTTGGTGATGGGGTAAGGGTGTGGGTGGAAGGAGGTGGGGGTCTGGTTTAGGTCTAATCGGAGAAATGGGGGGAGGGGGATGGCGACGGGGGCACTGTTTGGAAAAAAGAGCTGAGGTGGGAACTGGAGGCTAGGGGGGAGGGATTGCCGAGTGGAGGAGCGGAGATACGGGTTTTTTTATGATACAA